AAGTAATATCAATAACAATTATATTAACGGTTGTATTTATCTACTGATCTTCATCTCCAAACTGAATAAGTTTGTTTGGTAACAAAATATCCTAAAGTACTATAATCATTTGGTATATCAGTAGACAAGATGTCAAGAAGCAAGCTTATAAACTAAATGATCACGTAAATATGTTGGTTATAGCTTCAGGGAAATAGTTATCAAGCTGTGGTGTTTGAATGAATTAATGATTCCTTTGTACTTGTTGAATGCTTGATTTCGAATTCCAAATACAGTACATTCGTTCGTGCTTATCGAGTACTTCTTGATCCAATTGTGTTACTTCTGGGATTCCTAGTTTGCACTATAATTCAAATACTCCTAATTATCACACAAGCTTAAAACATAAAAAGTTAGATTAAAATAACAAGGATTAAAAGTGAAATAGCTATAAATTTTTCTAGTTAGTGTAAGCGTGTAAATCTTGGAAAAAGATATTATTCTATTCGATAAATTTATATATTGATATATGTATTTGTCATATTTAACTATCCATCAATAATTGTTTACTTCACAACTTACTAACATCATCTAGCTGGATCTAATAAAATGTATCAACATTCGATTGATACAAATCAATTCAACTGTACGCCATTTGTCTAACAATATGATCATTAGTTTAAATATATTAGATTTGTTGAATATAAAAACGATACCTAAATTTATTTCCTTACCTAATCAGAGTTAAAAGAAGGTTGTCTGAATCAGCATGAAAAGGCTTAATAGATTAAATACTTATTCCCAGAATTTGTCATTAAGTATAAATAAGTATATTTAAAATTAATCGTTTCACTTTACTTCCCTAATTTATTGTCTAATTTGGTTAATATATGGTTAACTTCATTTGCCAAATGTCAAATTAGTTACTTTTATATTTTTTAATTCCTCTTCCTATTAATCGATAATGTACGAGTTATCCAATCAAATAACGTTTTAGCCAATCTCATTTTTACCATAGGCAACATAAAACAAATGACATGTATACTATTATTTTAATAATAATAATAATAATAATAATAATAATAATAATAGTTCGAACCCAGACACTAAGTATAATCAGACATTGTACGATAAAAGATACTAAAAGAAATTATAACAAATAGCCCATTATGGACCATGGAATTAGTTCTCTGTATTTCCAAACTAATTTGAACTGAACTAAAGTATTATTCCTTATTTCTAATGTATGGCTCTCTAGAGGAAATTAACACGAGTATGCAAAAGATTGAAGTTCCATACATTTATCATCAGACGAACAATATTTTTAGACCTACACTTCTTTGAAAAAGTATCCTACGTACTAAACTCTCAACACTTTCAAAGCCCAGAAATTTTTAACGATATTGAAATAATAACAAAGTCTAGCTTCTATATCTTATTCACTATTATTTGTTTTAACGTACACTGTTTATTCGTATATAAAATAGTTAATAATAGGGAAGTCTTACTCACTGCATTCTCGTGGCGGGGGTGTTGTTTACGAAAATGAGAGGATGAAAATCGAATGTCCGGCGCTTTGACCGGATTCCAAACCAATGGTGCACATTAGCTCCAGTATCCTGCGGGAACAGATGGCGTATGAACCAATCGTTGGTCCCCGGCTACCATGGGACTGCATCTCCTCACGATGCTCCGCTGCCTTGTGGGTCAGACCTTTAAATCAAAGGCTCTGAGTGTGGCCCCCTAAGGAAACCACCTGATTCGGTCCGGGCAGTATCACACAAATCGGATGATTTATGTGGCGCATATCTACTTGGTGCCTCCTTGTACCAATGTTTATGCGTTTAAATAAATAAATAGGTAAAAATATATTTACTCTATCTCTTAAAATATATTTTAACTAATCAATTTTTATTTTCCATTCATAAATCTCACCATAAAGTAAGCATCAAATATTTGAACAATAACATACACAATCTAAATCAAAGTACAATTTCTATAAAAATCCGACTGAAAAGAATATGAACTATGACCAATCAATTCATCTATGATAAAGTTAACAGATAAATGAAATGTTCAGTTTTATTCAATATTGTTGATGGTATGACAACAAGATAAGAAGATAGAACCACATTTTATATACATTGCAATTTTTGTTAAACATGACTTCCAATTTTTTTTCTAATTCCATATAGTGATTATTCAGTATAATACTTGTTCACTTTTATACTTTGTTCAGTATAATATTGATTTATTTCATTATAATTTTGATCTAAAATAATATTCATTTCATTATTTTAGTATGAAATATGTAGCTTGAGTTTTGGGTAGTAATTCTGCATATTTCTTTCTTGTTTTTTCATGTGATAATTATAAACTGATCATCAAGTGTCCGTAAAGTCAATATATGAGTGTACTTGTATCATGTTGACTTAGGTTCAAAGTCTAAGTCTTTTAGTTCTGACTACGCGTCATCGGATTCGGGGACCTAGTATAAAGCACAAGACAACTAAGTATTCTATGGATATAATTGATTTGAGTGACTGGTAAAATTTTTCAAAAAAAATCTGTACATCGACTAATAATTAGCTAATTTGTACCGCATGGATCTTATGAACAGAGTAGTTGTAAAAAATAAAGCGGATATCATTAAACAGCAATTGCTTAGTATTTAACTGATTTTCTTCTTGTTAATTTTGAAACTGAAATTTAATACTAACTTAATTGATAACTTTCACCAGGTATCATATATATTAAACAAAATACCATCTAGGATTATATGGATCCCTAGATAAGTTGTTTTTGGTTATTACACATTATAATAATTAATTCGACAATTTGAAAACAGCTTGAGAAAAACAACAAACTGATCAGAGCTTAAATTGTCCAAAAATCCGAGATAACAGATAAAGAAAAAGTAAATAAATAATGAAATAGTTGAGTAATTTTGATTCGGAAGAAGCAATTAGACTTCTTAAGAGATAACAAATGAATTAACCTACTTTTCTTCAATACATAGTAATGTTTATGCTTTCTGTTACAATCCGCTCGTATAATTGAATTACGTTATACGAAAATGGGACAATTAAAATTATTTTTCTTTGTCAAACAAATTATAATGAACAAAATTGGATTATACAGTCACTGGAATCAATATTAAATTAACGTATACTGTAGCAACTCATTTATTATCTACCAATATTCATATGTACATAGTTTACTATTTACATTATAAATATAGGTTCTATAGATCAGTTATAGTCAGAATAGCTCAGACGATGAAGTTGGGTAATAAATTTCGAATCATATGGGCCGCATCAGTCCCCTCATGATTGTAGGTCTCTTACTGACGAGTTCCAACTAGCATGGAAATTAGTTCAATTACCTTCGACTACTTAACATCAGTACTTGTATGTCCACATACATAAGCTCCTACTGACATAACTGTCTATGTACATATGGAAGACTAGTTTTTGCCAATAGATTGATAGACGAAACAGATAACCAGCTGTGTAAAATAGATAAATTGGTCATTATTTCTAAGAAAAAACATGTATACTATGTAAACATGATTAAACGCAGCTGTGAGAATTAGAAAAGTTGATGTTATACTCTACGAAACTTAGTTATCATACAAAAACTTCAAGGCAGATAAAACTGTCTATCCAAACAACACAATGTAACAGGCCTTTAAGCGGGGTTAATGATGCATAACTAATGAAGGATTCAATGGCGATGGGACAAACGTTATAGACATCCCTAGTAGTAATTCTAATCATTCACTTAAATCTGATCAAATAATTTGCTTTTTAGTTTGATTAACTTAATAAGAGCGTCTAAAGGTCAATAATAAATATGCAACTAAAGCAAATGTTCTCAAAACTTAGGATAGAGGTAATCATCCTGGTAATTTCGTACATATTGAATAATGCATACATAGAATATAATGATTATGACATAACCGAGTGATCAGTTTCAGAATGTTCTGTGGATGGATTTTAATCTATTTTCATTACATTCCCTGAAGTAATATCTCAAATTTATAAAACCATGATTACGGTCAACTAATACTTACCTAAACTAAATATCGAAATATAAAGTTAAATATAAGTGTACAACCATTTCATTCGTATTTATAAAGTTGTGAAGCACTAATATTTGATATATTCTTTGGATTTATTGACGGATTACAATAGAAGATTGAATAGCAAGTAGATGATAAGTAGAAGACTTTTTCGTTACCTGTGTATCAAAAACACTATTGAAAATAACCATCAATTGATAATTCACTTTAGAAACGAGGATTTACAATAAGAAACACTTGATTTCTAGAGGATTGCATAACTTGGAAAACAGTTTTCATCGCAAATGAACATTAACTGCAGAATAAGACTATTTATCTGGAACTATTTTCGAGTCTCATATTGCAGCCGTGATCTCAGTTAGCTTTATTTAAGGATTGCTAAAAGTAGGCCATTAGACTGTGATACTTTGTATCACTTTACATTTACCACAACCCGCTCAACGTCAGCATCCGATATTAACGAACTCTAAGTTGTAGATTCAAGGTGATCGAATGAAGCGTAGCTATAAACAATCTGATCTCGAAAATCCCCAAACCAACATTTTAAGGTCATCAATGACCCATATAACATGATGTTAGTAGCACTGACAATCAATTCCAAATGGTTAATACAATTAATAAACTCCTAAAAAAGAAGTTCAAACCATAATGTCGAAATTACCTTTATCTTCCCTCTTTTGACTACTCATCGTTATTATTAGACACGGAGCAAAACCAATGTTTATTCATTCCGATTTAATTTTTACTGAATCATAAACATAGACTATAAATATATATATGAGAAAAAGTGAAAATCATCATATGTATGCATTAACTTGTATCGAATTTATAATGAAAATAAGATCAATTTTAAAGACTATACAAGTAAAAATTATATGTACAGATAATTGTTCATAAAATAGTACAATTATAAATAAACACAATCGTCTGGTGCGTGAAAGAAACAGGATTATCCATCACACTTGATGGACCAAAACTTGATATATCCATCATCAGAGGTTGTTGTCAAAATTAGTTGACTGTCTGATGTATCTTCGCTATGACTTTTGCTGTTGAAACCTCTAGGTTGCCAACGTACACAGTTTACATCTTCTGAATGAGCATTCGCAACATAACCCCATAGAACAGGTGGTTCTTCTAAACACGGTTTCCCGCCAATATGAATCAGACCACTAGATGGCATTTTATAGATGCATAATCTGTTATCAGAACCACAACTGGCTAAGAGTTGACCATCTGATGACCTGTCAAACAGTTGAGAGAAAAGCACTACATATATAGTGTGAGGAAACACATCGTTATTAAACTCAAAAAATCAAACACAGAAGAAGTTATACACGTATAAACTAAAAATCGCCCATGTTTAGAGTTTAATCTTATTTTGTATCCAAACGTCCGCTAAACACACTGATTGACCGTATCTACGTAAGTAAAGTTGAATTAACTTCAATGTTAACAAAATATTTTCGTCTCTTACAGACACCGAACTACTAGTTTTTGACTATCTATCTTACTGACCCTGAGTTTGATGTGATGATTGGCGTAGTAACCATCCAGTCATATCAGTAAAGATTAATTGGTAAAATTCTCAGAATTCATCCCTAGTTCGATATACTTTCTCCTTTTGAAATTCCAAATTAAATCTACGATAACACTGAGCATTGAATAAACATGATTAAGAGATGAAGGTTAAATCAAATAGAAAGTGAAAGCCTTAATCATAATGCAAAATGGAAATCAGACATCTGTCAGACGAAAATTTCCCATAATACATTGTCAATCAATTACTCAAGCCTGTGGTGAACTTAGGAAACTCAAAATACATGTGATGGAGACGAGCATTAATACCCGTAACTGAAAATGCAAACATTCAGTGTAGGCAAAAAATAATTTTGCTTGACTGAAAGAATAAACTTCCAATACAATGAAGAGACTAATAGTCTCATACATTACAAGATATTTGATGTTCTCTACATACAGTAATATTAACTTATTCACCAGGTACTTGGGTAAGAGCCATACTCTAAATGAGAATCAATGATACTACCCAATCGCCCAAACCAAAATAAGTAAAGCAGGCTTTGAACCTGTGACTTAATGACTGAAAGTTCTCTATGTAATCACGTCACAGAAGAGGCTTTCTGTGAAAGTTAATCACATCATGAGTTGTAAGGCTATCAAAGGGGTCGGAGGTATAAATCATATAGGCCATTGGTGTACGTGCCTTGTTCACCTAACTATGGACACTGTCCACATATCTTTGGTTAAATCTGTAACATACATATACACAACAGCTGTGCACTGATTATTCAGCTTGGCATTAAAACTGCCTAGATGTTGATGTCTTTTCACCTTGGATAACAGTCAGATCAAAACGTTTAAGGAGTGTTGTGGATGATGTAACTGAATAGACTACCACAGACTACATTAATTTTATATGTAGGCGTGGTTTTGCCCTAAACCATAAGAAACGATTCAATACCAGTTGTAAAGTCTCAATAAACTATACTAATAAATACATGTTTTCACAGGTGAATATTCAGTGTGACACTGAAATCCTAGTATGGCAAATTTTTGAGTTTCCTTTAACACCAAATCCCATCACTGTAAAACAAAACTTACTAGCGTAAAATGTATTGTATTTGCATCACACACTCTGGAAATGAACTCTAAACTATACTGAAATTTGTCAAACGAATTTAAACCGAAAACACTTTACGTTTCAGTTATCACTTACGCAATATAACTTGGTGTTACTAACTGAACCAAAGAATGTACGCGGTATGTCAAGTATTCATTACAAAGTCCTCGAATTATAGACATATAAGAGTAAAAATGTTACTTACCAGCTTAAATCGAAAATTGTACGTATGTGATAACCAGTTAATGTAGCAATACACACCCACGAAGTTGATTTACTGCAAGCTCCTAAAATGTAATTAATAATTACATTATTATCTGATTATGTAACACATGTACAGCCAACCAAAGACAATTCATCGAAACCGTACCCACAAAGCTAGTCACATAAGGGAAACACATGTATGAAGGTAGATAATGAATTCATAAAATCGAAATATAAAAACACTGGATAGTATGTTTGAATAGTATAAACTGTAAAAATATAATTATACAATTTACTTATACTAACTTTGCAAGCTAATTTATATTACCATTTAAAAACCCATAAAAATACATCTGTGACTAGAAATGAAAGTGTTGAGAAGAGAAAGCAAAATAAAATAAAGTTTACTCTTTTCACAACAAGCTTTCTAATAGTTTGCTAATACACTCACAAAAGTAGACTGGTCTTTATTGTTTTAAAAATATTTTGAGAACTGTACATTTTAAAAAGGTCCCAACATAGAACCATACATTCAGAGTTGATGAAAATCACAATGATAACTTTTCTAAGCTGAATATTTTATACAGAACAACCAATTTCCCACTAAAATACATTGCTGGAAAATTTTTGTAAAATTAAACAATCTTGGTAATATAAATTAAAGCATGATTTATGACATAAACAGAAAGAAAAAACAAGTAAAATGTTAGCAGTAATAAGTCAAACAATGTTAGTATTATCATTGGTTACCTGATACAAATAAACTAACTGAATAAAAATGATAGTAGATTTTACAAAACCTAAACATTTATAGTTGAGCAAGAATGTTATCTGTCAAGTAATTATTTGAACAGCCAATCAAACGCAACATAAAACCTGGCACATATGTGTATCGGTTCAAGCAGAAACAACATAACAGCACAGAAACACATAAATCAGGGGGTATAAGAAGTAGTATCAGTATTAGTAATAATCATGAAGCTTTAGTATTAACAAGTCATCTGAGAGAACACGAGTTCGTAAATAATAATAAAAAAACATTCAGTAAAATCTTTGTATTTAAGGGACGACAGTGAGTACAACTGCATCATTGTGAAATATCCTCGGTAATGACAACCAGAGTCCCAAACCACTGACCAAGGTTATCACGTAGACTCCAATCATGTAGTCTGCATCTACCAACATAACTGAAACCAACAGTCAATGAATTCTTGATTTGTTGCTTTACTTATCACAACCAAATAGCCTGCTCAATAAATTTTAATAGTGCTATGCAATTAGATTTAACTCCCAATTTAATCATGAAAATATGCAAATGTTACATAGCATAACTCGTGTAAAAGGTGGTTTATCATAGCATCACAGTTGTCATTACTAATTTTCTAATGTTAATTTTGGGGTAAAAAATCATTTAAACTTTCATGTTTAGTTACTTGCAGTTCCACGAGTAATGTGTGCTAATATTTAGTTATCTTGACAGAGACTTTGTTATCTCTACTTATGCGCATTTTTTCCACACTTGTCACATTATCCTTGTGTAAATATTCATTTAATTAAATTCAGTTATAAATCATCTATTACGCCTACGGCGAGAGATAAACAGAGTGCTTATGCATTTTTCTTATTCCAAGTTTTTTCTTCTTATTCACTCTTCTTTGATAGTTCAACATTTTTACTTTTATTTGGTGTTTTTTGCTTCATAAAATTATATACTACGGCTGGTTAAAAATGAGCGTAGTTGTCGTTGTGTAGTCCCGTCGCTTGATCTTTTTCCTTAAATTTATTGTATGTAGAGACTGAAATAAATCCTTCATGTTTTCCCGTTCTTCCTTACAACTTAAGGTGATATATATAGTTTTGCACTATATAAACATCGCATGTCATAAAAGACCCCCAACAAAAAATAGCAAGTTTATATTCAATAAATGAAAGGTTACTATTTTTTCTGCAGTTCTCCATAATTGACTATGTTTTTACTCCTCTCACCCCGGTTTGTCGCTGCTATCGATGTGACAGTAGAAATAGGAATGTGTAAACACTGTTTCTTTATTTTTTCATCCGTAAATAGTAAATTTATAAGTATATATATAATTATATCCTAGTGAAGATTAAATTAGGGGTAACTACTGAGAACTATTTATGGACAAATATTATACATATTTTCTCATTGTATAACTACTCAATAACTAGATTATGTATATCTATATTCCTCTTATTATAAGCTTTATTTTGACTATAGACGATTATGATACGATTTATTATTCTTAAATTATACCAAGGAAGTATACTAACCTAATATGACCTCAATAATCGAACACTACTAGTGGGACCACGACTTACGGCTAACTGTCATCGAAACAGTTAACTTCGAGTAATGTTCGTCGAGATTGTCCGCTTTCTGCATTTTTTATTGAATTCTATCATTATTTCTCATTGTTTCACTTTTTAGCAGTTGTCCTACCATGAAACTCTCTTGCTGACTTAAAATATGTAGATGGCATCGTTCTGTGTGGCAAATACGTTGAAAAAATGCAATCCCATTACCACTTTAAGCAACAGTGCGAACATGTTTAAGATGCTTATCTCTCTACATAGAAGCGAAATGATCCCCGTCGACGTAAAGTGATTGAGTGTATCGATCACTCCACTTGTCTTGGTGTCTGAAGAAATCACGGCATGGACTCGATAAGCTTGCTTGCTTTTCGTGAACTTGTAGCGCATTTGTTGTAGACGAGATGTTCGTTCACCAAACACACAACCAGTTCACTGAACAACTGTTCGATCACTTTATGACTGTGAAATGTAACGTTTAAAAATAGAGAATATTCACAACTTACTGGTATTAGATCAGAGATACCATCAAACAGGTTGTGTTGATTCTAGACACGCGGTACCAGGTAGGAATAGCGAACCAATTGATAAGGCAGTGCATCTTCATGGACTGAGATGGTTCGGAAATGTATGACATATGCCCAACAATGGCTTACGTGGATAAGTGGTGCATAATGGTGCACAATTAATTCGGAAGAAAACTAGTAGCAATCGAATCAAGATATGAGACCAGTTCAAGAATTCATTGACTGTTGGTTTCAGTTATGTTGGTAGATGCAGACTACATGATTGGAGTCTACGTGATAACCTTGGTCAGTGGTTTGGGACTCTGGGTGACATGACCGAAGATAGTTAGCAATGGCTTAGATGGATTCACTTTTTGTTTCCCCTTCGATCTTAGATTCCAGTAATCCACGAGATACACCTTTCCATTCAGTTTTTTCGAAACACATTTCTAATGTTTAGTCTTATTGTCATTGCTGCTACGTTACTTTCAGTATTTTTTGCTAATCGTCTTGTTATTTTTATCTCATCGTGTTAATGTAATATGGAAACCTGGACCAACTTACACCAATCTCGCACTCTATGCAGACAATGTTTGTTTTTCTGTCTACTCTTCAAGTTAGGCCTCCAGTAAGTTTAATTTATCTTACCAGAACGTTGAATATCCCTAGCAGAAAATCAAATAACACTAATTTACTAATCTGTAATTGTTCTTACTTTAGCATTGTTCAAATGGAGAGAGTATTTATAATCAAACTTCGCTTATTTAGTGAACACTTGTACGTCGATTACCATGTTAAGTAGATTTTCGATCATTGACTAGTTTTTTATGATAGATATTAAGGTTTTTGTTAAATGAAGAATGAAGTGCTGATCGATAGATGAATCATGACAGACGAGAGCATCGAAAAATAAATGACCTCTGAGAATCTTTGCAACAACAAATTTGATGGGCTAGAATGTGATTATTTGTCTCCATAAGTTATTTCCAAGTCTCAAATTCGTACAGAGGTGAGTACAACCGCGCTGAACTTTGTATACCAATCAAGTTGTTTTAAAAGAGAACAAAAATAACCCTCTCTCCCTCAACAATGTGTTGTTTGTTTTTAGTCAGTCATCCACTACGTAGGATCAGGCACATATGAATCGGTTCAAGTTGCCGTACCTCATTAGTACAATACGATCAACACTAAATTCATAGTAATTACTTCAGTGGTAGTAATATATATAAATAAAGATAATATGTAAGGATATGATACAAGGAGAAAGAATTGGCTCATGGAAAGAAAGGTGTAAAGTAATTTTAATCTCACGGTTTAAGGAAAGACACCATTGTGATCGATTTTGAGCCATGTCACAAGTTATTTGGAAATTTGTATTTAAAATAAAAGATACATTTATAAAACCCACCTTCCCATCCCCAAAGTTTAATACATCGATCATCACTACAGCTCGCCAAAATATCTCCAGATGGAGAAAACTCTGCTTTCCACACAGTGGAGTCATGTCCAGCTAAGGAAGTTGAAACAAATAAATAGAATAACATACTCGGAAAAATAAACGCAAAGATTACTGGCTAATTAATTCTTAATGCATGGGGCATATGTAACATTTATACGGAATAAACAAACAGAGGTTACAATCAATGTTACTATTTCATAACGCTAGATAAGTATCTACTTCTAAGAGCTAAGACTATCCGGAAAATTGGTTTAAGTAACACACACCAGTTGACACAGAAAACATATACCCCAGATAGGTAAATTAACAACAAAATCACCCAGTAGTTTACCTTTCATGCAAAAAAATCAATGTTTAGCGTCAATATTACTTGCACACTTATTCGTAATGAGAAAGCTGTGATTCAAAGTTAAAAGTAGACAAGTACTGATACAGAGGATAACACTGTAAAGTTAGTGATCATATAAATATCGCTTAGTAGGTGAAGCACTTGGCTTCCAGATATTCGGTTACAGGTTCAAAACCTGTCCCACTTATTGAAATTCCAGTTACCAGGCAATACAACAACCTGTACATGTTTATTGATTTATATTAACTAATAGCTACTATGTATCATAAGGTGAATTCAAACCAATTTATGTGTTGAAGAAAAGCACTTTAAGATCTCCTACCTTCTTAGCAATGTGTGAAGATCTCAAAGTCAATACTCCCCACTTCCTACTAAATGTGTATTTTAGACTTCCCATTCCAACTATTATCAAACAGGAGAAAACGAGTGTACCACAGTGCTAGCTATTATTCATCTCTGCTTAAAATATCATCAACATGATAATGAAAAGTACAACTGAAGGGTGATTTCAGTATTTTATTCAACATACAACATAACTGACAACTTCAACTTAGTTTATATCGACCTAAAGCTTGTTTTCATTAACAACGTGAGGTGGTGTCTTAGTGATTATGACATCTGACTTCCAACTAGTAGACAGTAGGTTGAAACTCTGCCTTGCCTAACTAGGTTTGGGCAACCGGTTATGGTCAATAATCATTAACCAATCAAAGTATAGAAGACAAACATTCATACTTAGTCTCATCATTTTGTAGTCTTAAATTTTATTTCGAAAGAGTGAACAGCACATCTTTACATTCTACACGTAAATTAAGTTCATTTACACGATGGTTATGTATTTATTTGTACAGGTACTAGTCAGCTGACGAAAATTTAACAAAATATGACTTCGAATTCCTGGAAATAATGTTATAATCGAGTTGCTAGAGGGAACATAATGTGTATAATTCAAGAAGACCTACTGGATAGTCACTCACTATCTCCTAAGAGCCATAACTTGCAAAAATCACTGTAAAGCAATAAATCAATTTAACTTTTTCCTGACCTATACTTTAGACTTAACGAATTTTCGACTGAAGTTTTCCCACTCCTTTCAAAACAATTTCCGTCTCTAAACGCTGCCTAACAGCTTACATTTAATCCTTTATGAGTAGTTCAGTTAAGCTAAAGGAACTACTTCAACTAAATTAAGATCCTACATTCAGAGCATATTCACTTCAAAGGATAACAGTAAAAATAGCATGCTCCTAAATAAAACGAAAAGGTGGGCCGTACATTACACTTTCTAAGAAATTTCATTGAAACAAGTATCTTGATTAACATGAGGAAAGAGTTAGTTTGATATCAGTGAACTCTTGACGCCATGACATGTTATAAATTAATAAAATGAACTGATTCACAAAAACAAAAAATAAGTCTTTTAAATTTCAGATAAAAGGTACCCAATTAAACGAAGCGTTAAATAAAACACCTAGATGGTAATTTGACTAAGTCCGTTTATTTAATATTACATGATCTAAAAAGGTCATGTATAGCATTAGCATGAGATGAGTCGTCGAATATTTAGTGTAGAAATATAAACTACTCATTAGTACTTAAAATTATTTCATTAAATACGGAAGTAGCTCTGAAGATTAAATAAAATGATACCAGTTTAAAAAGAAAATTGATCACATAAATTGAGATACTCATCACTTACTTAGCTGAATAAAAACAGCCCAATCATCAAGTTCCTCTTTATACACATTTATCTTATTGTCATAACTTGTAGAAACCAGAACCTATATAAAACACAAATGACGGAAAAAAGAAGCCAACTCGAACATGGCAAAAATAAATAGACAAACCTGAATTTGACCGAATAATCAGTAGTGACTAATTTCACATCTGTCTAGTTCTTGGTGCTGATCAGATTCTACAACTAAGTGGCAATTTAGCCACTGTTAGAGGGAAAACGATTATGAATATAGTGGTCTCGAGTGCTGTTAGAAGGATGAAGGCGGTTATCACTTCCCGGTTATCCATACCGTGGAAGAGTTCTTCTAGAGGTACCTGGACAGGAGATGGAGATAAATTTGGTTTTATTGACCTGACAGAGTGACCGCAGTGTCCAAGAGACAACTTCTTGAGGCCGGTCACATATGACCTTTTTGTGGGTAAGTTTTGTGTTAGCTTCGTACTTATTGAGGCCTTACCGTCGGAGACGGATATCTGTGAGATAAGACGGTGCGCATTTTAGGGTCGGCCTTTTCTAACCTCACACTTCATTTGAAGAAAGGCAGTAAAACACCTTACTGCCGCCACACCTCCGTGCAATCAGCAGTACAACTTCGCCCTCGGACTTTGGGTCCGCTACTTTTGGTCTTACCGCTCTCCAAACGACCTGGCATGGTAAGACCTTGAGGGACGATTGTCCTGGTCAGTACAGCCTAATTGATTCATCACATTGAGCAAGCCTGACAACCCCGTAAGGTAGTGTAGTCTGAGTAATTCGGTATCGCGCACACTGTGTTTTGGTGTTAAGTGGTTGGCAGTAAGCCAACCTACATTTCCTGCTAGTTAGCACACAGCTATTGTTACAAAGTCTAACACTATTAAACGTACAAAAACAGTGATAACCTTGTGCAAATTAGTAGTAAAAATTAGTTTCGTCAACTATTGGAGTCCCAAGGTATTTTTACGATAACGGAACGTCTTAGCAAGAAAAGATGACGTATTGTTTGAGAACGAATACCAGAATAAGAAGCTTTTTCATCACTTAAGGAAAAGCCATTGTTTTACCTATAGTCCTAAAAAGCTTAACCAATTTAAGTGGCAACTCCTAGACACTAATCTGTCAAATTATCCAAACTAGCTTGAACGTGTCTGACAATTACCAGTTTTAAGATTTTAGACTATGAAAAACCATTATATTTATAGTGCTTATTAGTAATCGTCTCAATCCAACTCTCATATATGAATGATACGAAAACAGCAAATAACTTCAATAATCAGTGGATTTTATGTTATGCCAATCTGCACCAATATTGCATTTTAATTTGAACTAGAAATAAAATCTTTTTGTATTTAGCCATTACTAGTTGTAAAGCCTAGTAAGACATATAGAAGGCTTAATTTTAAGATTCAAGCATATATATATATATATATATATATATATATATATATATATATATATATATATATAAGATAGATAGATAGATAGATAGATAGACTGGCAGTGAAGTTGTGAACAATGGATCCACAACGTGAACGAAAATCAACCTGCACCCAACCATTATTGGCAGCATTTTAACATGAAAAACACTTACCAAGCGTACTCACCTCACCATCTGGATGCCAGGCTACTGATTTCACATCCTGTGAATGGGGCTGCAGAACGCTTACACACTGAACATCCTCTTCGTCATCAAATTCCCACAACCAGACACTTTTATCTCGACCGCAAGTTGCTATCAGATGACCGGATGGGCACCAAGCAACACACTTGACTTCGCTAGTATGCCCTAATATCCATGAGAGAAAAACAACAAAAAGTAGTTTGCATTAGTGTGAAATTGATAGACTACTTATAATAAAGTATTAAAGCTACATAATACGTCACCGATACACTACCTGCCGAAAAAAATATTTCCCTATACTTAGCCCATAAAAAGCTACGTACTTTGTTCGTCTCAGATTTGAAAAGTAAGCATCAGTGAGAAAGTTTACGGCAAAGAAAATGTGAGCTCCACAAGTCAGGTGAGAAAACAATCTGGATTCAAACAGGATGGTTTATGAACAAATCATCGCAAATGTAGTCATCCACAAAAATCAAGCGATTTGTGTGGGGGATGAGATACTCCCCAGGTGCCGAAACGAAGCATGCGGTTTTCTTAAGAAGGTACACCCCGAGCCTTTGATCTAAAGGTCTAATCCACAAGGCAGTGGAGCAAAATAGGGAGGTGCAGTCAATGGTTGCCGGTGACCAACAACAGGTTTACACATCACTTGTTGCCTCAAGATCCTCGATTTCATGTGCACCATTGCTTTGGAATCAGGGTTTTCCAACTCATTTACGTGAATCCTTCGTACACACCATTCATTTAATTATTTATTTGAACACATAAATATTGGTACAAGGAGGCACCCGATACATATGCGCCACACAATGACAATGAGAATGGGAAGAGATAAAGAATGTAAGGTGCGTACAGAAAGAAAAAAAGAACAATAACGACCACAAATTGGTGTTTGGTAGTGAAATAATAATAATAATAATAATGACAATAATAATAATGGGGGAAACAGAAAGATACAAGCAGAAATTTTTTCAGTTAAAGTTACGGCCACTTTTCATGAAGAAGGTTACAGCAGGACAGTCACTGGCTTTTATTCTGAGCCATATCTGATGATGTCTCTATCCAGTGTCGCACCATCTCTCGGATCTCAGCCAGGGAGTCGTGAAGAACCAACACAAGCCAGCCCTTTGTAGCTTTCTTTCGTACCACGACACTATGTCATACACTGACCACCTCTCCGCCTTTTCCAACCAGTCCCGGTGTCCGCAAATAATGCACAACGCGGAATTCTCTGGGACGACATTCGTAGAAGATGTCCAAGCCCCTGAAGTCGACGTTTCAAGATGGTGACACCAATTGCATTATCGTCGCTGTGCCCTAACACGATGCCGAACCTCTGCATTACTAACATGGTGTTGCCACTGGATGTCAGCAATCCTTCGGAGACAACGATTATCGAACACAGAGAGTCGTCTAACATCCTAAACTCGGAGAGGCCAGGTTTCACAAACATAGAGCAAAACTGCTCTCACCACAGCGTTGTAGATCCGACCTTTAACAGCCAGACTAACATCACGAAGGCGCCAAAGATGGCCCAGATTGGCATAAGCCTCTCTGGCTTTCACTATACGTGCATTGATCTCATCAATCACACCCCCAAAAGCACTCATACAGCTACCTAGATACACGAACTTCTCGACTACGTCTATCTGCTCACCATCCAGGGTGAGTACAGGATTAGAATCCTGCCAGTCTTGTAGAAGTACTTTGCACTTCGAAGGTGCAAAGCACATACCATACCTACGGACACTGATTGCCAACTGATTGAGTGCGGATCGCATGGCTTGGGCATTATCGCACAGTAAGACAATATCATCCGCATACTCAAGGTCGAGAAGTTTCTCCAGGCAACAGATTCACACAGCCATTACTTACACCCATCAGAGCTGTTTCCAGAATGTCATCGGTAGCAAAATTGAAGAGGAATAGTGAGATTAGGCAACCCTGTCTAACACCACTACTTGAATGGAACAATGGAGGGAGGTGGTTGTATGCCCTTATTCTGCCTGAGGTGTTTGTATATAGGGCTTGTAGGATGTTAATAAACTTCTCAGGCACATCCTTCTTCAATAGACAATCCCAAACTGTATATATTAGAATGAAGTCCACGGAAGCTACCAAATTACAGACAGGTTCGTTTTCCATTGTATGAAGAGGAATGATTTAAACAAGGTATATTAACCAGATTCTTACGATAAATAAAAACAGCGGTTTAAATACTACTCCGTGTTAAGAAATTAATCCAACTTCTCTAACAGCAAGGCTATTTTGCTGCATTGTAAACTATTAATAAATAAAAGAATTACCAAGGTCCACCTGAATTCAGAAACAAATTTATGTCACAAGTGCAAGTGAATCTAAAGAAAAGACCGAATAAGTCTCGGAGAACCAGATCGTGTACTAAACCAAAATAACAAAAATGCATGGTCATCTTTATTTAAGTTGTTATATGTGACACGACGAAATGGTCTTAATTTAATGTATTGTGTCAAAACATACCTTCTAAGGTAACAAGCGCCTCCATTTCGTGCCCTGAAGCCTCTTTGAAAACTTTCCAAATGGCTACTGTTCCATCAAAACTCGCTGAGGCTATGTAGTTACCACATGGCGACCATGTTATGCATCTAATTGATCTTTTATGTGCCTCAGGGAGAGAGAAACTGTTAACCCATGATTCATCGTCACATTTAGCCCATGACTTGATTATTCTGTCTTCCCCACCGGAAACCAAGACAGATCCCTTATGATTCCAACTTAAAGTCCACAATCGCCTGTTGCTGCCCTAAGTTTCTGCAATTCACGAACACTAATCATTCATGCGAGTGAAGGTCAATAAATAAACGACCCAGAAGATTTGTAAGGTCGTTCAATATTCAGTACTACGGCCCAGATAGTCTTATTCAGATACAACCTTAAGAACAAAAATGAAGGAAAACTACGTTGTGATTATCCTTCGGACATAAATTATGAGTGTATTCTCTTAAATGCCTGTAGCAGGCATACCTTTGAATATTCTTTTTTTCAGTTGTCTACTTATGATACAACAGTTAACTTAGTTGGTATCCTGTGACGTTTCCACAAGGAACCGGTCGCCGTTTCTGCAGATGCAGAAAAGATGCTCATGCAACTTAAAGTCTCGAAGGCCAATTATAGAACACTACTTTTCCTATGGTGGCCTGAGGCTGTTCTCGCGAAAGAACCTGTGGAATATCAAGGGACATCACACCCCTTCGGAGTAATAACCTCACACTTCTGTGTCGATTTCACATTGATGAAGACAGCCCAAACATTTTCTAGTTGATTCGGTACTACACAAATTTTGCGTGGACTATTACCTAATATACTATCCCAATAAGGATGATTCAAAATAATTTATTGCGCAATTTAACGAATTGATGGCTCAATGAGGTTTTAGGGTGAAAAAATGGGTAACTACGTAAGAACTGGTAGACGAATCTTTCAAAAACCTATAGTATGGTAACGGTAGTTGTTATACCCTTGAACCTAGGGTCCACTCATCGAACCCTTGGGATCGAATGGGACACCGTACACGCCGTTATAGAATATCAGTTCGGCCTAGAGAAAAAATCCTAATTAGGATGGCATTATCATCCACTTTTCCATTCTTTTTATCCATTAGGCCTAATTGCTCCAATATACCATCCTACCAAGCAGCTCTCACAGACATTTTGTAAGTCACACATTGGTTGAGACCAGCTCCTAATTGCTAGTGTTGTATCCTCGTGAAACGGTCGGGTTAAGTTTGTGCGTAAGATTGGGATAATCAACGTTCCCTAAAATATTAGAAATAAGAATAGAGAGAATTTTGGGATGACTGAGTTTCATTTGCTTTCTGATGCCTCCGAAACAGGTTACGGTGCGGTAGCCTACTTGCGGAATATCCCTAGGCACAAAACCCGTACAGCATTTTGCTCTATAGTAGGGCCATAGTCATTCCTATAAAACCGGCAATTGTTCCTAGATTAGAGCTAACAGGGACATTATTGAATGTCCGGTTGGGTGAAGTTTTAAATAAAAGTCTTCCACACACGTTTTGTAAGATTCATTTTAGGACGAATTCTATGATAGTTCTGTGCCGCGTGGGTAATACGAAGAGCAGGTATTCTAACTTAATAGCTAGTCGCCTGACTGTTACTCATCGGTTAACGTTTACGGGCTGTGGGGACATGTTGGGTCCAAGGAAAATCCTGCAGGCTGGCTGTCACGAGACATACAGAACGGATTAGACTTAAAAATCTGGATTGAAGGCCGTTAATTCCTAAGGAATAGGGAGTTTATAAAAATACCGAAACTCATTTGGGAAACGCCTTCAAAAACGTTGGATTTAAAAGAGCTCACACGATGAACACAGGCACGGTAAAACATAACTCAAGTCCAGTCCTGTTATACCAGTCGAATTGGTTAAAGCTGAATAAAGCGGTAGGGTGGCTCAGGAGATATGTGAACTATACGACCACCATCTGCTCTTGTCAAAAAGACAGGTCTTCACGTATAGGACTACTTTGTGTTGATGGGAGATTAAGCTACTCGAATTATCTACTCTCACTCAAACATCCTGTGATCTTACTCGGTCGTCAGTGTGAAACAAAACTGATTATCCGACACTGCCACCACAGACAAGGCCACACTGGGACATCACACGTATTAGCTATCATACACAGAAATCCTCGGGGTGTTTGGGGATTCAGTGATTTTCGACGAACGATAGGTAACTGCGTGAGGTGTGTGCGTATGAAAGCTATATTGTGCCAGCAAATGATGATACCCCTTTCTGAGTGTCGAGTTCAGCAAGATCGGTTCTCCTTTTCCCCATTGGGAATCGACTATTTTGGACCATTGATGGTTCGTCGGGAAGGAAGTGAGGAAAAGAGGTATGGATTCATATTTACGAGTCCCGAAACGCGTGCCGTACACCTAAAAGTAGCTTTCAATTTGATTACTAATGATTTCATAATGGCTTAACTACGTTACATAGGAAGGAGAGTGATTCCAAAATAAATCTACAGTGACAACGTAACTAACTTTGTCGAGAAACTTCTGAACTGCAAACTGATATAAGTGTATGGGACAAGCATAGGATAAATGACCACAACATTAAAGGTGATATACTGGTAATTCAATCCCTACTAGCTAGCCATCGAGGTGGAGTTTGGGAGAGACTGATGCACTCTGTTCGGAGGATCTTGCCATCCATTTTCAACGAACAGATCTTACATGATGATAGTTCAGCAACGTACTTTGTGGGAATGGAAACAATTTCAACTTATCGTCACATCATTCCCGTTCACATCACATGAAAAGAATGACTTGGTGCTCACGCCAAACACCCTGCTACTACTAAGAGATTGTGATGGTTTAGGGATAAAGTGCAGTATTATAGTATTTGAAACGATGGGACCAAGTAAACTGTCTAACTAATACCTTCTGGGGTCGATGGATAAAGAAGTGCATTTCGTTACCGCAAGCGATAAAAAATGGTTTTGCACACACAGAAAATTAAAGGAAAATGATGTGGTGCTTGTGGCTATTTTTCCCATTATTTACGGCTATGTGAAACGACGACGAACAACTATGAAACATAGACCCACGTTGTCACGCATGGAAATGACTACTCTCGACGTACTTAATACCATTTGAACGGCTAGTGAATCTGTTGGGGAGTGTTGTAGGGCTAGTGAAATGTCAATGAGTCATAGCCAAAGCATTCAGTAGTCAGGTCACTGAATATCGAACATTTTTCCGGTCCTCGTTAAGTTCAAAGACAATCAGTTGCACGCCATAGACTGGTGAATATGGCGGTGGTCGCATTCTGTTTCTTGTACCTACTCTTACTGATATACTGTTGTAATAACGTTGTTTGTATTGTATGGTTATCGAAGAAGTCCTAATACCCGGACACGATGAAAGGGTAATCCGTGCTAGGTGTTAACCATGAGGTATGACATCGACGTCGGTTAAGCGGTCACACCATTCCCGTCCAACTCGAGTAAACCTCCTAGTCATTGACAAAAATCACCTACTTTGGAAATCTACAACCTTACCAACAATAAAGACTCCTCGTGGTTTATTTCCATCCCGTACGTGTATTTTGAGACAATAAATAAATGTTTACAATGCTCAGTGAGTGGATCTTTATTTTTTAGATGAATGTAGTGAGCACATGATATCTGCATTAATTAGAACTACATTATTATTAGGCGTTAGAGTACTTTTAAGTTATTTTCGAATTCATCACATGTCAAGAACGTTTGGTATAAAACTGCTTTCCAAGAAATATTCGTTAAGTCAGTCAAAATACTCTTTGAAGTACGTGACGCAATAGTACTGTTGAATAAATGGACAGAAGAATCAATGTCTTAACGTAACGACGAAATTTCCAAACCCACATACTACTAGCCATATATCTGCAATTAAACAACACGACACAAAGGTTTTATTTAGCTAAAAGATATTAAAAAAGGCGATGCACATACCTGTCCATCACTTATTATTTTCCAAAACATAAATGCACAGGTAAAATTAGGTTAAAGTAGGTTATAAATATGCCATCGACCTATTGCATTTCAAATATGGAACGATCGGTGTGATATAAACCTCTCAAAGTCGTCGAAATGGAAAAGTGACCACTTCAATGATGAAATGAATTTTTTCCCTGTGTCTTTGCAACAATGCGTGCCCAAACTTGATCTGGTTAGGATGCTTGAACCAACGTCTTCAGCCAGGAGTATGTGCAGTTAAACAGGTAGTGCCGGTATCGATATTGAAGATTTGTGAAGCCATTCATTTTGAGGACTTATTCGCCTGATAAAAGATAGTTGTTAGAAAAGATTCAAAGCGCTACAATTAAGTTGGTTTCAGAAACAGAAAAGCTAATTTATGACGACTGATTGGGCAAACCGAATGTGTTCCACTTATCATGCGTTAGAAATAAAGGTGACTTAACTACTGTCTTCAAATTACGCAATAACAGTTCTACAACTGATATGTATAGGGTATGGTATTAGCTTATGTATAGTGTCTTTTATCCTTAGGATTTAACATAAAATGATAAGGCTTTATAAATGTAAACCATTCTATTCAGAACCAACACTTTATTGTGGTTTCCATGAGTTTTATAAACCCTGTACTGGATTTTATATAAAGCAGTTTGTGCACATTGTTGAGCTCAATAAAACGAAAATTTTAGTCAATTTGTTGTATAGTGAATTTTTTGTCCACCATACTCCATTAAATTACTCAATAGGAGCTACTATTTCGCAAGTTAACCTGTAAAATTGATCTTTACTCGTTTGAATGGTGAGATATGTAGGAAAGATGTTTTGTTACACACAGCGAAATCAGCTGCTTATGAATCCTTCATAACTGTTCATTACATTTTGATTTTAATTTTAAGTGTTCATTGATGAGCACCGAGGAATACTTTCAGTCAACGCACATTTAAATCTGAAGGAATGAACAGAATTATTTTCTATTATGCACACTATATGATCGTGACGTTATTCTGTTGCTCTCTGCATATTCTGTACTAAAATTTGTTGCTTATCGGCTTTATGTTTTAGCTTGACAGATTATAAACTGATTACCTAATACTAGCTATCCAAATATAAAGTCCACAGATCTGCATTTATTTAATTGCCAAATGACTGGAATAATTTCTTGGTAATATAATACTTGGAGCGATCGGAGCACTTGACAAAACACTGTAAATTCCCGTCAGATCATTTAAACATTTTCCATGACTGAGATTCAGAGGTTCAGAAAACTGAGTAATATCCCAACTTAATAAGAGGTACACGACAAATAATTTGATTGATTGTGATATATTTTTATTCGAATACCATAACATATGTGAATTAGAGAAATCGGCGGTCACTACACACAGTATATAATAATAAATCATAAATAAACGCTCAAGATACTACTGACCATTTTACTTCAATCTCAGTCACATAATACAGACCTGTTCAGTCACTAGGAATTTATGGATGTCGAACTATTGAATGCTGATTCTACCGAAGGCTTCCCAGTTACGTTGAAAATTTTGATTTCCATCTTGACTTGAGAAATAACGTCCTCAAAATTTTCATCTAACTTTAACCTCTAATTATCCAACCAAATTGAAATTCTGCTGCCATAAGTTCAGTATAAGGATTCCGATTTGTATAATACAACATTTCAAACGTACCGTTATAATAAGCAAAATAAGAAACGAGAGCATAAGTTTGTTCTGTTTTGAAGTTCCCAATTTCAGTTTAAAACAAAGTAGAACTTAACACGAATATGAGCTATTGATGATACTAAATCATGCACTTCGTTTCGAAATAAACATATTCTCTGAAATTTAAGAAAAAATGTGGAGTGAGCGTAAAAATAAAATTAGCTAGTGAAACAGGACCTTTAATTACTATGACGAAAGAAAAAGAATAAACGGAAAGAAAATAGCGCATTGATAAAATACAGAATTCACCAAACCAAGGCGATAAGACAATTCTGAAAACTCTAAAAGTTGGTCAAACGAAGCAAGCTACTTCTGAATAATAAGTAGTATAAAGCAAAACACAGTGCTACACAAGAGGAGATGTAAGTTAAAGATAAACAGAACAGTAATTATTTAAGATTTTTCCCTCACAGGATTTTATGACGTACAATTAAGAAATCAACATGAATAATCACTGAGTTCACAAATATTTTTAGTGTTTTCTCTAAACGTATACACGTAATATTACTGAACTATGAGGTGAAACGAGAAATGAAAATTAAATGAAGAAATACAATGATCCGATTTGCGACCTTTCGTGGCTTGATACCGATCTAATTAACACACTAATGAACATAAAACTAATACTATTCAATGTCTGGTTATTCATATAAAAAAGTATATTCACTGTGTTATTTATAAACATAATAGCAAGTTAACAAGTTTGTAATTTAACAATATTGACATATAGTATCGTTAAAGATCTTATATAACTGTGAAAATACCATCAGTTTAAATAAGAGGAACTAGATCAATTGAAGTCAAATAAGTTTGTTTGTAATTCAAAGGTATATTCAAATTGTTTCAGCTTTGGTTTCTATATTGACATTGTCATAGTAACAGTTATGTTCATTCTATATGCAAGTTAACTTTGTTGAGTATTTTCTAACTTTTCATTTACTTCTAACTTGTTTTAAAGGCTAAGTTGATTCTATAACCTTCTTCATACCTAAAAAAAATATCGGCTGGTTAAATAAAAGCCGAATAAAAACTGAATAATTTTTATCCCAACTATATGAGGTTATCGTTTTTTACCTTTAACAATATGAAAAACACTAGTAGGATGGTATACACAGATAAGTAGTATTTGTGTAGATTACTTACCAAACGTTTTTCCTGGTTATTTTTATTGTAATATGGTATTAAACTTAGTTTAATATCAGTCACTTTTTTTTTAAAAAATTATAACACCTTGTGTCCTAAAATATTTCACTTGGTTACTAGTCCCCTTTCAAATTTATCAACCAATACAATAATTGTACTGATATATTTAAAACAAATTTAAATGGTATAAAGCTTAAATTTAATTGATTTATTTGTAGGTATGTGTACAGATAAATATGTATATGTTAAATGTATTAAATTAGTTACGATCCTTTATTCATCACTTATTCAATCAATTAATTTGTGTTTAATCAACGTTCAACAAATGACTGTTTAACAAGTAGGTATAACGATTAATTTTGTGGATTGGTTGAAGTTAGACATTAACACGGTTGGATACCGACTCAATCATCTAGAGGTTAAGCGTCATCGTGTGATACCGATACGTCCCGGGTTTGACTCCCGCTAAGCGGGATCATAGATGTACATCGCTGAAAAGTTCCACAATAGAACGAAATGGCTTCCAGGTTTTCCATGGTGGTCTAGCTTCAATTGACTCATGATCTCAACTATCAGATTAAAAATCTTTTGAAGATTTATAATATGTCAATTATTTTAACCTATAACAGACGGTTGTATTCAATAAATTCTACGGATGGGATATACATTGACAGTGATATTGATATATATAATAATAGAAATTGATGGATTCCCTGTTGACACTTCAGAAGAATATTCAAGTGAGTATTTTTATACATATATATATATTGAAGAAGATGATTATAATGATTATAATTTATTCTAATGAATTTTATAAACATCAGTTTCTGTGAATATAAGACATTGAATATCCTTTGATAAATAAAAATAAAATAGACCACAAATAGAATCTTAGGTGTTCATTCAAATGTAAACTGATCGATATTCAAATCCGTTAAGTTTTCAGTTATGACCTTTTAGTCGCTGTGGATAAACAGTATGACAACACAAAGGAGGATCAATGATTACATTTCTATTGATTAATGATACAGCCTTCTATATTATCAGTCTGTAGTTGAAGTCAACTTTAGATCTTATAAAAAGAAATATTATATAGAATATTTAACATAATACTTTCATAACTGTTAATTAATATTTTGATTTTAGCGTGACACCTAATAGAAAACGAGAATGGATAAATTTCCTATTACAATAAAGCTTTTTGTATGTTTATTTGCATATACAATAGCTTTCTTACTTTTTTAAATAAGTTGATATGTTCACCATAGACTGTGTAATGAGATTATTGCTTTTATCTAAAAAAAAATACATTGAATGTCCCTTTCTGTCCACTTAAAAATACTCATTTCTGATTTCTTTTTTGTGCAATTTCATGACAATTATGTTATACTTCATTCATTATATACAATTCGAATTATTTTTTAGCAACGTTGCCAACAGTAGATCAAAGTGAATAAGGACCGAATTTAGAAGTCAGTACTAGTTACCTGAACAATAGGAATAAGTTTTGTTGAAGATTCTTAATAACCAGTAATCCCAAACATGGAGCTTATATATGACTAAATTCATACAAGAAACTTCACTGATTGAACTGAATGACACCACTTGATTTTATAATTGAGTATTGTTTCATCTCACTGGTTAGATGGCCATACAGACTAAAAGAATACTGGTCCTTTAATTAATTAAAAAGTATCACAGTTATTAAGAACTTTCACTTATCAGAACATGAATTCTAACCTAACGAACTAAAGTACAATATCATTAGTTGTGTTGTAACTTATATATGCATCATTCGTCTGACAAGTAACTTCTGGTTTTACTCTCTCGGTTAAATAATTTGTGTTTAGGTTACGGCTCTGAGTTCATTGCCTAGTGGCTTTACATTATAAAATCTCAAGCTAAATTGAATGGTCGATTCTTGACAAAATGTTTTTAGGCATAAAATTCTCAAAAAGGGGAAAACTAGTATTCGTTCACTATTCCATTCTTAATCCGAAGTAAAGCAACAACTAAAATGAAAAAAATATATGCGAATATCAAATTATATACGAATATACACTGATTAGTTCTGCCCAAAATAGACAGGGCTGACAAACAACACAGATGCGCTCTCTGACAGTAATATTTAATGTTGATAATGAAGAGGAATTCGAGCCGAAGTGTAAGTATATTTGGACAGATGCTAATAGTGTAATCTGGGACGCGCGTTTCCTCCTAGTCAGGTCCCATCAGCTGTACGCACTTGCATCCCAATGTTTATGTTCGCAATAAGACACAAGCCCACTACCTAACCCTTAAATGTCACTAAACATATCCACCAACTTATTGAGTCCAAATAACCACTGATTTCTTCGCAAGTTTAACTGTAGACCTTCAAGTTTTCTGGAATATACTTTGACGTCCCATTTCTCAGTTCTCATTTAACCAATTCATGTGTATAATAATAAAAACCAGTTCACTCTTATTTTTTTTAACAACATTATCCATACGGGCGAAATTAACATTAAAGTAAATGTAGTGTTGAGTAAATATTCAAACATAAACGTCAACAAATCAACAAGTAACTTTTCTATCATAGTCATAGAGAACAGTGATTGTGGACAAAGTAATAATGATGAACACCTGAAAGATTACAGTATGGTACATATATATTGTATATACCAAGAAAAGTGAAATACATTCTTTTGTAGTTGTCTCTATCTGAATATTTATCTGGAAACTAGAACTACTCACTAATTAGAAAGTACACTATGCACCGTTTTCCTCAATTAGATAAATGTTAAATACTTGCAAGCTCAGTGAGACTTCCCAATACTAAAAGCTTATGTTCAAGAATAAAGACTATAATAGCTCGTTTGACTAATTATGTCAGTCAGTTTTTGTCTAAATCAAAGTGTTGATCACTTTTATTCCAGTACACTGAATTCATTACTGATAAATGTGTTCATTGACTTGTGAACTAAATCAATCCTTTTACCAGATTTACAGATCAACACCGTCGAAAGGGCAATAGAAATTTAAAAAATAACATTATGTATCATTTGTTTTGAGAAATTTAGTTTGTTTTCTTTGAATTGTAGTCAGTCCTAACTCCTTTCGACAGTAAATTCAGAACCATGAGGTTTGGATACTATCCATCTATCAAAATATCAACCAGTGTATTCACTTTCTCAAATTTAGTTACTATCATTCTGTAATTCCACTTTACAGGTTTTCAGAATATCTACTAACCATTCGTTTTGTATGAAGCATCGACATGGAAAATAGAAATTTTAATATTCATCATTTTATTGAACTAAGTGAATGTAAAGTGTGTTAGTGATACAATAATTTACAATATGATGCTACGAACAGTAATTTGTTTTTATAGGTTTATCCAATAAATGGGTGAGACTACAATTTATGGACGACCTTTGAGCGATGCTAAAGTGACCTTGGGAACGTCCACCTATCAACTAGGACTAAATGAGAGTTATGAACCAGTGTGAGGAATTAGAATTATGATCTACAGTTGATAGTTAGGATTAGGAATTAAATTTAGGGTTTTCATCATGAACTGATATCAGCTATAATGTCAAAATGCTATCTAGCCAAATATATGAATAAATTTCGCGCCAAATTCCAAGACTCGTTATCTTATATCTGATTGGTTCGTTCATAAATTATAGTCTTGACAATAAATGTTTCATTCTGTATTCTATAGATAAAATAGTCTATTATTAATGAAAATACTATAGTTATTTTATATTTTATTTTCAGAAAATTTACTCTTACGACAACTCTTAAACTTTCAACTACCAAAAGATTCAAATTTTCATTATATCAGTAGTTTATCACCAACTGCATGGAATCCAACATGGTCTGCTTTATTATGGTCAACATGGTCCGCATGGGAAAGATGTACACAGAATAAACATTGTACAAATCACTATCATAATAATAATAATAATGATAATAATAAATCGAAAATTATTGAGAATCTGTTATTTCGAACACGAATATGTCAATTTCAGTCAATCAATGAACAATTGTTATGGTCACAAGCAATGATTAAAGGTGTTAATTTATCTGATGATTTATCTACTTGCTCAGAAGAAGGTTTGATTCAAACTGATGTCAAACATTGTCAGAATTTGCTTCAATGCACCTACAAAAGTAATCGTTTTTCATTGCTAAAAAATTCCCATTATATTAAAAAACACAATTGTATGAACGAAGACTATCCTTTTCAATGAATTTTTCATCAGGTTCTACAATTATAAATCCAGATTAATAATCTATAAAATTAGTCAGATTTGAGGCAAAATACATCATCATTTGGAAATTGTAATATGTGAATCAGGAACTGTTTGCTATATAAATAAAATCGTTAATGTTGGGGCTGACTAATATGAAGTGTTAACTTGAATCGGTTTATAAGCGAAATGAAATTGGGAGATAAATTATCAGAATAAATATGGTCAAAATGGGGTAAGAAAGAAAGAAAGAAAGAAAGAAAGAAAGAGAGAATATTGTGATTACAAATCGGAAATCACGTAATATGTAAAATAATTAGGTCAAATATAGTAGATTCAGGGGTGGATATTGAATAAATTCCTCAAAAGGGGGTTATCAAGTGTAAAGACAATAATAGTAATAATAATAGTGATAATAACAGTAATAATAATGATAATAATAATAGTAATAATAACAGTAATAATAATAATAATAAGTTTGGGACATAAAATGAACATTAATCAGATTACGTCACCACATTATAAGATTGATTATTAGCTAGTTGGCCAGGATAAAACGAGTGGCTGAACATACTTCTTTTGGATACAAAGCTCTGGCTTTTTGATCGGAATAGCAATTGCTTCAGCCATCTGTAGGATTCGCAGTCTGACGGAATTAGGTAGACTGCTGTTGACGACGCACCGAGTGAAATGTTAAGACCTAAGTTAAGTAGATCAATTCAAAGGACTTTTAATGCAGCTAAACTACAACTAGTATTCTCCACACGACCAATAATCACTTCGAGGTTGAAAGTTAAACTACCTAGACTAGCCACCTCCTTCTGTATCTATCAATTCAGCTGCTCCTGTGGAGCAAGTTATATTGGCATATGTTCTAGGAATTTGTACATTTGGGCTCGTGAGCACCTACCCGTGTGGTTAAGCAAAGGTGTTGTCAAAACTGTTAACAGCTCCATCTTAGACCATTTAGTCCAAACAGGACATATAGCAAACATGGAGCAATCTTTTGCAATAATCTATCGTGTCAACAGCAGTCTACCTAATTCCGTCAGACTGCGAATCCTACAGACGGCTGAAGCAATTGCTATTCCGATCAAAATGCCAGAGCTTTGTATCCAAAAGAAGTATGTTCAGCCACTCGTTTTATCCTGGCCAACTAGCTAATAATCAATCTTATAATGTGGTGACGTAATCTGATTAATGTTCATTTTATGTCCCAAACTTATTATTATTATTATTACTGTTATTATTACTATTATTATTATCATTATTATTACTGTTATTATCACTATTATTATTACTATTATTGTCTTTACACTTGATAACCCCCTTTTGAGGAATTTATTCAATATCCACCCCTGAATCTACTATATTTGACCTAATTATTTTACATATTACGTGATTTCCGATTTGTAATCACAATATTCTCTCTTTCTTTCTTTCTTTCTTTCTTTCTTTCTTACCCCATTTTGACCATATTTATTCTGATAATTTATCTCCCAATTTCATTTCGCTTATAAACTGATTCAAGTTAACACTTCATATTGATCATCCCAGAATGTTTGGAATGCGCTTCTCTCCCTCGAAATGCAAGTTGTTGCTTCAGGACTGGCCTGTGTCAACACCTGAACTAAGGATAGGGAGTGAAGTAGTCGAACGCGTTGACAACTTCACTTATCTTGGAAGTCTGATCAGCCCTAATGGGTTGGTGTGTGACGAAATCTCAGCACGGATTCGAAAAGCTCGCTTGGCTTTTGCCAACTTACGTCACCTATGGCGAAGGCGAGATATCCGTCTATCGATAAAAGGACGAGTATACTGCGCGGCAGTCCGTTCTGTTTTAATTTACGGCAGCGAAACATGGCCTTGAAGAGTAGAAGACACTCGTAAGCTATTAGTATTTGACCACAGATGCCTTAGAAATATTGCTGGCGTCTGCTGGGATCACCAGGTAAGTAATAGTGAGGTTAGACGCAGGGTATTAGGAAATGATGGTAAATCAGTTGATGAGGTTATGAATCTTCATCGACTGAGATGGTTGGGCCACGTGTTACGTATGCCTGAACACCGATTACCACGACGGGCAATGCTGACTAGTGTTGGGGATGGCTGGAAGAAAGTTAGGGGCGGCCAAACCAAAACGTGGCATCAGTGCTTGAAGACACTAACTTCTAGTCTGAGCCATGTTGGTAGATGCAGACTACTTGGTTGGGGTCCGCGTGACTATCGTAACCAATGGTTGGAGACTCTTGGTGACATGGCTCAGAATCGATCACAATGGCGTAGGTGTATACACTCTTTGTCTTCCTCAAACTAAGAGATTAAAATCACTTCATATCTTTCTTTCTACGAACCAATTCTTTCTTCTTGTACTATATTTCTATATGCAATCTTTCTCTCATATATTACCACCTGTGACCTAACCACTGCTATGAATCCGGTGTTCATCTTGTTGTGCTGATGCGGTATGGCAACCTGGACCGATGCACATATGTGCCTGGTCCTACGTTGTAGCTGACTGACTGAACAAACAGTTCCTGATTCACATATTACAATTTCCAAATGATGATGTATTTTGCCTCAAATCTGACCAATTTTATAGATTATTAATCTGGATTTATAATTGTAGAACCTGATGAAAAATTCATTGAAAAGGATAGTCTTCGTTCATACAATTGTGTTTTAATCGTTTTTCGTTTTGGTAATTTGGTACATTATAGACCTATTTAACATGAAATAATATTTATTGTTACATTTTTTCATTTTACACTGTTCATACTCTATGAAAAAGAAACAAGTGATAGTCACTAGTGTTGAAGTCACCAGTTTAAATAGAAGTCGGGTATACATATAATTATTTTCGCTTAAAGGTACACACTTCTATCATTTTCTGTTAATAATTAGTAACTGAGATAAGAATATATTACTGAATATTAATAAGTGTTCAAATAATATGTTAAATGAATTCTACTGGATTTTAATAATGTAACTTAAAAGCCTACTCACAAGCAAGACCTATCTTCCCTACCTTTGATTCAAGAAAGTTTATATGACTAATAATTAATCGGTCAAAAGTAAAACGGAATTATGTTATCATTAGCTTATTAAAATAATTTCATTCTTAACTTTATTATTCCCTGTTTAGTTATGTCATTAATGTGGTGGTAGATTTATTAAGAGACAATTTTAAGATTATATTATCGCATACCCTAGTTTCTAAACCAAAACACAACTCGTACTCAGTGTAATTCTTTTTTTTTAAACAAATTTGTGTTTCATTTGTAATGCACCAATAACTTAGTACTTTTGATTTCTTGGTTATATTATATTGTCTTAATCGACATGAAAAGTTCACTTTTCAAAGTAAATAAATATTATGTGTAAAATAAATCTATATGCATGTTATGTCTGGTCGTCGCTAATTGTTATGTCTGAATCACTTGTAAAACAAGGAACCTCCACTATTCCCATGATGTGAAGTAAGAACACAAAGAATGGTACAAGTAAAGATTCATTAAAACCATACATATATTCATGACACCTCAATGAGTCGAAATTTATATTTCTGACGTTTCATAACTTAATGTAAAGCACTTATTCAGAGTAAAAAGTTAATAATCGAATTAAATTAACACAAGTTTTCCATGGTGGTCTAGCTTCAACTGACTCATGATCTTAAACATTGAAATTACAAGTTGAAATTGTTCAAAGGGATAAGACAGAATACTTAGATTAATCTAAATCAAATTAGGTCAATGTCATGTGAATATTTTTGGTCAAGGGGATTTTGTGTGACATCACGTTGTATATTTGTGTGTACGATGGTAGGTACCTGAAATGTGTGATTTGTAATATGAAGTGGCGGAGTTAAAACTTGTGTGTGTGTATGTGTACATTTTATGGGAAATGAACAGGTTTAGATTTAGTTGTTTGAACAAATAGTCCCAGTTGAACCGCCAAGCCTTTTTTCTATTGGGGCTATATGAGGAACGCTTTAGCTACTCGCTTGTCTGTACAGTTTGAAAAACCTTTAGATATTCTTAATATCGATTCGGTGGTTGTTAAATATAGTTTGCTATTACAGATTCAATTTGTAAATTTTCAACTCGACAGGTTCCCTAGGATCTTTTGTACAGCACCCTAGTACGAGTCGAGATTTCACGAGAAGATTCTTCCATGTAGAACTGATCACACTCGACATAACATAGTCTATAGACGCAATTCTGTGTGGATGTAAACGAAGTCTTATCCTTAAATCAGAATAAAGCATTTCGAAATATGGTTGTAAGCATTAAGATAGAAGCTTTGTGGAATCTCATTAGTTTGAAGTTTTAATCCCCAGTTTATGAACAAAACCTTGCTGAGGCTCGAACTCGAAACTTTCTTCCCTCTCAAGAATCACAAAACTCGTAAAGCAATGAATCAGAATTTAATGTTTCACACTCCAGATATCAGCTAGTTCTCAATAACATTCGACAGTCTCCAAATGTTGTAACTGATGTCTGACTCATTCTTCAGGACATTTAACCTCCAGAGCCCATAGATTCTTAACATAATGTCGGAAAGGTAATCGCTATTGAGCATAAGATTTTTATCAGGTTGAGGAGTACGCAGTTGGCATGAGCACCTTTACAGTCTACAATTCGTACTTCAGCTAATTTCGATTGTGATCGGAGCAAATTCTAAGTAATAAAACCTTTTCACTCAAAATTGAAAAGTCTTTAGTCCTCTAAACTTATTTAGACCAGTTGAATAACTCTACATCTAAAAGTACGTTGTGAGATATGCCATTGGCAATATTACCTAATTTCTACAAAATAAAACGAAGGTCTATGGATTTATCTTTAAGAAAATGAAACTTACTTGATAAGGATTGTGCCATATGTAAATAAACAATGAAAGCCTGTTGAGAACTTTAAAAGTCACACTTCTTACCATAAACATCCAAAGAACCTACAAAATTTTAAAATGATTTATTGTAATCTACTTTTAGGTGTGAATATTGTCACTAATTCCAGTTTCAGAATTTATTAAAACAAGACACACTCCTTATTTTCTTCTAATTATAGCTTCATCCAAAAATCATTCCTTCCATTCATTGTCAAAATCAAATGTTAAAAGCTTTCCTTCTAAATGTGGAGAAAATGGATGTGATTTCACAGATACTACTGAAAATAAAATCAACATGGAAGGTAAAATTAGTAGTATTATTTTTATAGTTGATGTTAATCTTGACTATTATCTGTCATACACGCACCTACTAATATGGAAAACATGTCTCTAATTTATAATTCTTAATATACAATGATTAATCGTTAAATAGTAACCTATATGGTATTTGTTTCATTCACCACTCTATGGCTGGAGACTGTGGGCACAATGTCTAGAGGTAAAGTAATTGAACTCAATCTGCAAGAACATTAAAATGAGCCAACTAATTTTGCGGTTGCTTTAGAAAACATGTCATTCAGATCTCACTCACTACTATACGCTAGATATTGGTCTTAATATGGTAGACAGTTAGTCAACCTATTAATGAATCACGATTTGATAATCTGATGAGTGACCAACAAAACCCATACCTTACAATCATTAGTATTTCAAATTTTATTTGATCATATTTGTTTTGTATCAAAAAGTGTATCGTACTTTCATGTTGATCGGGTCATTTTGCTGACCAGTAATCGTTTGTGTTTGCAGTCGTTCATCTTCAGGGTTTTGTGTCAAGTAAAAACCGCTTCTGTTAATAAGATTTGTACACATTGTTTAGTTCTAACGAGTAAACTGCAGTGACTTTATATCCAATCAGTGCCTTGTAAAGTGGCTTCAAATCTTAATGATTATTCATAGACTGAACCAATGCAACAGACCATTTGATATAAGCAGATGTTATAGGCAACCATATATTTATGTCATCGGACAAAAAATACTGTTAATAATTTGCTCTACCATCTTTTCTATGAGCGTAGATGATCGGACCACGGAAAGACATTCAGAACGCAGTGAAATTTGGGGACCATGGACAGCATTGCAACAGTGCTCAGCAATTATTCCTACAATTGATGAACTACCAGAAGAATATCCCTGGGAATTAATGCTCAATTTAACTCGGGCACCAGCTGGTAGAAGATGTGAACCAGGATTACAACTCCAAATCCGAAAGTTATTAAATGAATCTAATTCCATAAAAGAGGTGAATACTGTTCTTTTAGGAATATTCGATTAGTTTCGTTTAACTTGAAATATTATATTTTTAAACATTTTATCACGTTGTTAATTTGAAAGGGATGCCAACCCAATCATTGTACTGGATCGTCCTTATTATCAACACTCAATGTCACTAAATTACATAGAATGCAAATGTATTCTGGAAACTACTGATTTGTTTAAAAGTAAGTGGTTGTCTACTGTCATGATTTACAGTAACACTACTTAGAATAACTACCAAATATTATTTTGTAGATTAAACTGCTGATAGATTATTCCTAAGGAGATAAAACAAATTAATTATTTTCGTAATGATAGGGATGATTTAAAGCCTAGGTGGATCTGTTTAGTTGTACTTAGTTCTCTAAACCAGGTAATTTAGCTGTAGAGTTTTCATCGTCACCCCCTGACAACATCAACGGCTATTTCATGCAAACTTCGACATGGAATCAATATTAATTCAGAAAAGACTATAGGTTTTCTGCAGGATTACATGGGTAATGTTGCGACCAGGAGATTTATGCCGCTTATCTTAACCCTAATTACCAAGAATATTATATTTATGTTTGAAAGTAAACAAAACTTAATCTTAAATAACAGACCTTATAAATTCGATTAAAATATTGTCTGACCATTACAGCGTCAAAAGTTCTCAAAGAAACACTTATTATTTAAATAAAATATTTCATTTATGGAATTAATCCAATACATGTTAACTAGTAATAAATGTTTTTAGTACGAAAATCCTCAAAATGAACAGAAGTTACCACTAGCATCAACAACGATAACAACAACAACAACCATAAGTGAAACACGTAAAATCCACTGTTGGATAAATGAAGCATGTCATACATCCGACGTGAAAGTTGAACCACCAACTACATGCTTTTTTCAAGCTATACATCGTAGTCCATCTGCACAAGTTAAATGGCGTCGAACACCATATGGTCGTATACCATCTCATTTTGAAGTACATGTTTTAGATCTTATAAATTCTGTTCATTATCGAAAATCTGAACTTTATATTGAAGAAGTTAAATTAAACAAATTAGATCCATGGGGAGAAAATTATGTTGTAGAAATATTTGGTCTAAAAATTGGTCAACCATATGAAATTAGTATTGCATCTGCTGATGAAATGAGTAATTTATATTTTTCAAAATCTTGTGAAGCAGTAGTAATTATTGGAGCCGGTGAGTTTATTATAAAATCTATAAAATGATATCAATTTGTGCTAATGTTAAATTTACTTAACAAACTAAACATGAAATCTGCTGACTGATTTAACTGAAGTAATATAATGAAATGTGATTTTACGCTACACTAAAATCTCGATTCTCATGCAACAATAATGTCTCTAAATTTACCATTACCTACATAGCAAATTGTCCATTTTGCCCAAAACGTTTTGTCTGACAGCTTCTTGAAGGTAGTCTATAAATCTGGTTTTCCAGCTCTATATCAATGAAAGCATGAAATCCGATTATCCTCCGTATTTCTTGCATTTACATGATATAAACTAAAACAACAGTTTTATAATCCAATAAAAGTAATTCCATAAGTCTTATCAAATTTTAAAAAGATTTTATGCAGTGCGGAAAGACGGACTGAGAAAGGCAAATGTTTAATTGGTATTACATTTGTGGTTGAACTCAGAATAACTGAAGGGAATCAAATGAGTAAAATTGGTTCGTTAGATTTCTTCCAACATTTCTATCTTCACTGTGTTTCAGAAGTAACCAGCTTACTTTAGGACGATTTTGAATACACTAGTCAAAACACATCTTTTTGTCCAACTTGATTTCCCGAACATTTTAGACCCCTATGTTTGGATTATTCCAAGTTAACCTAAAAACACTAATATCTATAAAAACTATTATTTTCTTATATTGGTGAAAAGATTTGTTTGAAGTTTGCTGTATACAGAGCCGGCCTCTCAGATAAACCGATCTAAAATATATTTGTAATCTTTCAGTTATCTTCAACAGTTTTGATCTATTAGTTTCCTAAACAAAGTTAATTGGAAAGACCATACTACATACTAAATTAAAAAATAAAAATATATACCTGTAGTAAATCAATCGATCATATAAGTGAAGTACGTAAACCAACAAAACTCTTTACCAATGCACTGCTGAGACAGTTAAAGTGTCACTATGTAAAATAAAGTGATAAATAATGATGTGCCAAATAAATTCATTTTTCATTTGTCAGTTGGATTCAATGATACTTATTGAATAAACCATACTTATATATATATATATGCTTTCCGTGATCCCATTTGCGTACCAGTTTGTTAGATAGCCAATCCACTTTATTACGGCAGCCACTTAGAATGTTGAAAACCTAGTTTAGTTAATACAATCGACTGATATAAAGATGAACATTACTTAATCCACTTGATTTCAGCAATACATTATTAAATCTCATCGGGAAAAATTATTTTACCAATAGATTTAATAACATGATTATTTGAAAATAGATATTATCAAGTAGTTCCGACTGAATTCCCTTAAAATTCTATGTTATAAGTCTGTTCTATCATCATTTTAATACTGCTAATGAGAGGTCACCTTTATTTCATGTCACAACACTCATATATATGGCTAGTATCTTAGCTTCCAAAACTTTCAGGCCTTTAAGTGAACTAATGATTACTGTAAAATAAAGAGTTAGAACAAATAAAGCTTATTCAATGAGACAAATTCATCGAGGAAAGCGCTTTTATCACTATATAATACAGATAATAAGTTAACATTTTATCTTGCAGGTGATGGTTCATGGTCGAGATGGTCAAATTGGAGTAACTGTAATTCAAAATGTGCATCGAAATTGGGCACACGTAGTCGATATAGAAAATGCAACTCACCAGCACCTAGAAATGGTGGTCGTGTATGCCCTGGTTCAGAACAAATGAACTTTGAATGCTTTGGGACTAATATCAATTGCTAAATAAAGATTAACTTTACTTTTTTCTAATTCTAAAAAGAGTTGCTGATTATTTTTCTAACACACAATCAAATAGTCCGGTTGAATATTAAACACCATTAAAATAAGAGTTATAATACGACAAGGTTTGATATATAGGTCAAAAGTTTCGAGTGAGCTTTCTAGGCTTTTTATTTAAACACTTAATTAGCTTCGGCTGAATACAAAACTATTTCCTTTTTAGATTATAGTTTCTTATCATTAATGTGTAGTAGAAATAGTGTAGTGAACGAGAAATCAGGTGTGGAAAACCAAGTTATTGTTTAACGTTATATCGTAGTGTGGCTTAATGAAATATGATCACATATTAAATGCATCATTTGTACATCTTCTTTGCGCTCTCCCTTACGTACGCCATTGTTCCTCTAGTTCTGTCTTTATTTTGACTGCTGTCTGATTTTCTTCCTGTTCTCCTCATTTTGATCTCTTACTGACAGCTATCCCGTATTCAGCTGGTGATACACATCGCTTATACTTGTTTCTATAAATAACATACATCCCAATAATAGACAAATTCAGGTAATTAACATGGTAGCTTTTAACTTGTTATATGACCGATAAACCTGACCATACATCAGTCATGTCCTGTTTGACATTCCTTGAAACTTTTTGAGCTCTTAACACTCACAAAGAAAAAATTGATCTGAGGGCTATTTGAGAGCAAAAGCAGACATTATTATGATGATCGAAAAAAATTTGTCACGTGACAATAGTGGTGATTTCATGAATTTCTTACGGACAGCTGACGATGTTTCGGTTCGAGCGTAGCTGTCAGACACTTACTCTGAACTCGATGTTGTGATTAAATATTGAACGAGTTATTCATAGTAGTGCTACAGAGGGAAGTTTAGAATTGTTGAGTATGTAAGCTAGCTGTGAGTAGCAGGTTAAACAGAGGCTATAAATCAAGATGTCATCGAACAACTCTTAACCGCACGAAATAGGTTGTTATAAATTTATTTAGTCGATGAAATTGATCATGAAAATTGCGGTTGGATATTTCGATAATAATCTGACCTATAACGCATTGTAGCAAACCGAACAACGTAAATGCTGCTCAGTTCACAACTGGGAGCAAATCTACCTTATTTCTATAAAAATAGTACAAAGCATAGTGACTTCTTCAAATTAAAATTAAACTGTGAAAAAATAAACCTAAGGGAGAAATATATTTTCTAGTTTAAAAAGTGGTGAGAAATCAAAACCTGAAATTGTAGGATTTAATTTGTCTTACATATATACTACTAGAACAGTAAACGTGATGCTGGAGAGCACAGAGTTTATGTGAAAGCTATAGTCAGAACAAGGACAACTTGGCTTTAAACTTTATCTGTTTCTGAACGTAAAAACAATAAGATTAGTACAATAATCAAAGAAAATTACAGTTATTAACTGAAACACACAAACATATTGCGTGTCTTATCGAAATGAATAAAATTATGAGTCACAATAATGTAATAGGATAATAATATTTCCAAAGTGGTAGGTCACATGCAACAGAGATACTTTGCAAACACATCCGAATAGATCAACGTGGTGGGCGCTTAAACAACGATTTGACTGGTTAGTTATGGACATAACTGACAGAAATACTGATAAAATTAACAGGACGTACTTGAAACAGGCCCTTATTAATTGTCACTAAAATTTTTTGGGGAATGTTGAATGGCATGTCATGTACCGACCTACGTTAGACCGCCATTGAGAACCTGGAAGCGCAGTATGGCCATTTCGTTCTAATTTCAGACTATTCAACAGTGAGCATCTACGACTTTTCACGCCGCAATCTAACTCAAAATCTTTGATCTCTAGCATGGACGCCAAACTTTAAGACCATTGAGGTGGCATCTGACGGTGTTAATGGCTAATCTTAATCAACCCACTACATTGCGAGACTATCCACCATTGTGTCCTTTGGATCACTGATCCCCATTCAGATAAAGGAAGAGGGTTGGGCATAAGGTAACCAACTCCATCCCGTAGAAAACAACCTCGTTAAAAATCTCTAGCCAAGCATCTTCATTTATAAAGGTTATGACGCCTCGTGATGATTGATTCTCTGCATGACATAGCTGCCGTATAACGAAAGGCTGTCCGAACTAAATGTTTTTCCTTTGTCATATAGACGGAAGGTAGGTTGCTTTCCCAGTGAACCACAAACGAATGGAACTCATGAACTCAACACACGATTGGAGTTCCATCTCTCGATCTTCTAAGAACGTCCAATAAAACGGAAGGAAAGCCATTGTCGGGAATAACACAAGCCGCTAGGACATCTGTCCTTTTCCAATTAGAACTGAAGACTGTACCAGTGGCAGGTAATGTCAATGCTTAATTTTATAATATTGGGGCTTGAATAGGCTTATTGTAAATAATTCCTTACAAGGGCCAAAAAGTAATCGTGACTTCACGTTTTATTATAAGGAAGCTGAATATGCTGTATCCATTGCTTTAGATGACACTGCATGTTTTTTCTACACCCGAAGTGTCCTTGCACTTAAGCCGAGATTTAACCACTCAAGGTCAATGCTGAAGAGGCTACCGATCGGAGTATTTCGGGGAATAATAGCCTTAAGCACTGGTATAATAACTTACAAATATCATTCACTTGTTGGTACAATAGTTTACGCAAGTTCCGAACAAATGCTCGCCTATATTTTTAGTGTGACGGTGTTAGTATGCAACCTACCGTTAACGATGGTGACTATCTAGTTGTTGAAAGGCTCTCAATCATTTTGGGACGTATTAGAAGGTATAATTCACTCAAAAAACCATCCTATTTACAGAGGAGATGTTGTGATTGCTGGTCAACGCAGAAAGTATGATACTACGCATGTTCTAAAGCGTATCAAAGGTCTTGGCGATGACCGAGTTACTTTCTGGGACAAGAGTAATTTGGAAGTCATCGCTAAACAGGTAAAGACAGCACTTCTCAGAATTCGTCAGTAGTGTGTGGTTTCGATAAATCGCCACGAACCTCCGTGCCTGTTCCCAATCTCCCAAGTTTGGGGAAACTACCAAAGTCAAGTGACTTTCACTAAGGTTAAAGGGAAATATTGGGGAGTTTCCACAGGTCTGGGGAAATTTTGGGGTTTTAGTGCCATTTCCCCAAAGTTCACTATAGAGGCTTCCCCAGAATTAGGAGTTCAGGTTTCTACGATTTATGTCGTAATATTAAAAACGCACCGTAGATACAATAATGAAAAAAGGCGAGACTATAATTTATGGACGAACCAATCAGGTATAAAATAACAGGTCTCGGATCTTTGCGCGAACTTCACTCACCAATTTGGCAAAATAGAGTTTTGACATTATAGCTGATTTCGATGAAGACCGTAAATATAATTCCTAATCTTAACCGTCAATTGTAAATCACAATTCGAAGTCCTCACAGAGATTTATAACCCTCATTTGGTCCTATTTATTAAGTGGACACTATCAAGGTCAGTCCAGCGTCGCTCAAATGTCCATAAATTATGGTCTCTTCGATCACCAAAAGTTCGGCGAACGTGGAAATCGATTAGAACAACCCTGCCTTTACTATATAAGATGTCTCCATTCAGAAACACCCTTCCAGCCTTTACTCGTACACGTCACGTTAATACAGGCGATAAAGTCTTTACTTGCAAAAGAAATCAGGTCTTGTTTTATTCGTCAAGATTTTCATTGACTTTAAAGCAATGTAGCAGTATGAATATCGAAAGAGAGGTGCTATCGCCAGTGAACGAATTAAGAATCGGGAGAGACAAAAGGAAAGCAGAATAGGGTATTAGGACTCGTAAGATGCACAGAATGTTTTTGAGCAAATATTCTTGCAAATATTTGCCTTAATTAAGTTATATCATCACAGGTCTCTAATGGTCAGTTGTGGTTTACCCACAAACCAACTAATAAAACCAAACCACTATCCACATCTATGGTTAATAACAAAAGCTACATAAATTTGTGTACAGTTTTCAGTTAAGAAATTCCTCTCATCTTTTACCATAGTTCCAATAATATAGTTTGTAATTGAGCTGAACACTTATTCCTCCTTGATAGTTTAACATTTCACTATTAACAGTGCCCCAAGTTAGTAGTTCCTGTTTCATATGATTAATAGTGGTTGGAGACACTTGAGTAGTTAATTATTAATGTTTTTAAAGTGTTATCTCTGCCTCATGTAGCCGCCTGTTAAACAGTTAAAATCTGATTCTTGCTGTTGCATAAAAAACAAATGAGTCTTTGGTTATATTAGTCGTCTACCAACATGGGATACAGACGTATATTGTACATCCTCAACCAGTTTATTTCGACTTATTGGTTAAATTTTTAAGTCAGTCATTTTGTACATAGTAAATTAATTCTACGGATATTCGAACTGGGTTACTAATTTGAATAATGAAGTCAGTCATTGTAAAACTGATTTTTACGAGTTTATTTTATTTATATACATAAACATTGGTACAAGTGGGCACCAAATATATACGCACTATAACTCCTCATTCGGTTTTTGTGACGATTGAGATTCTGCCAGTGCACCTAAACCGGAGCAGGTGGTTTTCCTAGGGGGCTACTCCTCGGGTCGTTGACCTAAAGGTCTGGGCTACAAGGCAGTGGAACAACGTTATGAGATGCAATCCATGGTAGACGGTATCAATAGGTTTACACGCTATTTGTCACCTCAGGATCCCCGAGCCTATGTGCACCATAGGTTTAGAATCAGGGTTTCCCAGCTTTTTAGGTGGATCTTCCATACCTATCAACCCGCTTAAAACGTCAGATATTCGCTTTTTGTCCTCGCAATTTCGCAAACGCTGACCCTACCGCAAGATGGCAGTAAGTAGGAAGTAGCTGAACATGTGTGGCCTTGTGAGAGAGCACTTCGGGAGGGAGGACTTTCCTGTCCGTCAACCGTACCAGAGCATTCGGGGGAGATTTTCACGAGTAACTAGTATAATTAAGATCAGCAACTGTAAACCACAAAAGACTGAATAAAACTGATCGTTAAGGTTA